GTCTTCCCGAACCGGGGCACCAACCGCGTCTCCTGCATCGGCAGGCGGACTCTCAAGCACTGCGCCACCAGGGAAGCCCCTGCTAATGATTTTTATGGGGAATTATAATCTACAAAAATAGGGAAGTGTATATTTTGTTTTACTTGGGAACTACTAAAAGATTCTTAATGCGTGTGTTTTCTTTCTTGCTAACTACTGAATCACATTTTGTTGAAGTACTCTCTCTAAACTGACGGTTTGTTTTTTTTTTTTTTAATTTATTTATTTACTTTGGCTGTGTTGGGTCTTCATTTCTGTGCGAGGGCTTTTCTCTAGTTGTGGCAAGCGGGGGCCACTCTTCATCGCAGTGCGCGGGCCTCTCACTATCGTGGCCTCTCTTGTTGCGGAGCACAGGCTCCAGACGCGCAGGCTCAGTAGTTGTGGCTCATGGGCCCAGTTGCTCCGCGGCATGTGGGATCCTCCCAGACCAGGGCTCGAACCCGTGTCCCCTGCATTGGCAGGCAGATTCTCAACCACTGCGCCACCAGGGAAGCCCCTCTAAACTGATGTTTTAAAGCACTGTCACTGTGGTGTCTGGATATGATATTAAGAACAAGTGAAGAAATTTGACAATCTCTAGCTTGTTGGAGACTTGTTTGGAAAGTAAATTATATGTGATTCCCATGTGATGGCTGAGGCTAAGTGTCTGACAGCAGGCCAACAAGTTAATGATGTGTTAGAAGGTGCTCTGCACTAGCAGTCAGGAGTGTGTTGTACCCTGCTTTGTGTAGCCTTGGGAATTTGTACATTTTAATTAAGATGAAAGCTTTGAATTATATTTTTTTAACTCTAAAATTCTAGGATGTGACGTGTCTTAGCGTGGAGCTTCTGATTGTTCTAATGCAGGGACTTCCTCTCCCTTGAATCTTACATTTACATATTGGCTGTAGCTATCTCTTGTGCATCTGTCAGGAAACACATGAACAAAATGTGGAGGGGGAGAAATCACAGGGAAGAGAGGACTTGGTGGCTGTGTTCTGTTCAATTTAATAAAAATTACTAAATGTCTGTAACATGCGGGCCCACAGCTGGTACTGCTGTATCTTTACCTTGATGACAACAAGCATGATATGATGTTTGTTGTTACTTCAGTTTGCTTTTTATTCTCATTATTGGGGAATTCTGAACTATATATTGGAAGTCAGGGCCAAAAATCTCCTGGCCTTTGATTTGAAACATTTTTCATAATTCTTGGGCAGCAAGAATTTAATCTGTATGTATGTTTTGCAGTTTACTCCTCAATGCAAATTAACCTCATATTTGTTTTTGGATATGATATTGTTTATACTAGAGTAGTGTTTTATTCAGTATACTTTTCAAATGGAGCTTGCCTTTAGAAAATAGTTATGAATATAACCATTTTGAGACAGTTGAAATAATGGAGGAGTTGAACAAAAGTCTTTAAAGTTTTAACAAAGAAGTCAATATACTTGAAATTAATTACATGATATATTTATATCTTTCATCAAATGCCGGTCCTTTTTCTTTAATAACTGCTTAAGAAGTGAAAACAGTCCATGTACCACCAAATTACAGTGTTTCTATTTTGCACTTTGAATCATTTCATTCTTTAGTTGTAGAATTCTAGAAAATAAAGAGGGAAATGGCCGATGAAATAGAAGATGCAGCTGAGAATGTGAATGATGTATGTTAAATGTGAAGGTTCAGCAAGCTTGGCCTAATTCCTAAGTTCTTTTCTATTCAACAATTTATTAAGATGACTAAAAACAGTAGTTAAGCTCTGGAAAGCCACTTGGCTTTTCATAATAAACGCTATGTTTCCAAAATTCATGCAGGAAAAAACCCCATAAAATGTCAGATGAAGGATATATAAAGATTGGTGGGATACTGTATTTAGTATGTTTTATCTCATGTTTTACAGCTCAACATGAACTCTGCTCCTACATTTATGCATTTTCCTCCAAAAGGCAGACCCAAGAGAGCTGATACTTTTGACCTTCAAAGAATTGGATTTGCAGCTGAGCAACTAGCAAAGTGGATTGCTGACAGAACGGATGTTCATGTATGTTCATATTCCCTACCAGTTTTAATAACAGGCTAATTAGTGTGGTTTGGTAGAACATTGTAATAAGGCCACAGGATTTTTTTTGTTTTTTTCCAATTTCTCTATGGAACATTTCTCCTTGCTTCAAGAAAACTGCATCTGATAGCTGTAAGTTAAATTTTGAGTTAGGTGAATTTAAATGGTTTTAAAAATCATGGTTCTTAAAATATCAGGGAACCATTAAAGAATACGTAAGTTAGGCACAAAGTAATTTCACGGGCTAAAAAATATACTGACTGTTGCTCAGCGGTCTTAGTAATCAAAGAAATTCTAATTAAAAAGCCAGATGTATAATTTTTATCTATCCTTTGAGCAAATAAAAATGGGATAATACCCACTTTTTCATGAGCCATGTGAGAAAATGCCACTGACATATACTGTGCTTGGGACTGTAAATTGGTGTAACTATTCTAATGGTATGTGTCATGTCTTTATTTTATGGAATTTAACTTAATAACTCCACTTGTAGGAATTTAACTTAAGGATATAATCAGGAATGATTTAAATTCTTAACCATAGGAAAAAAAGTTTAAATGTTCATTTTAATGGAAAAAATCGTAAAGAAATCAAATGTGTAAAAATAAGAGACTAATTAAATGTGCCAGAGTCTAGACAGTGGTTTGCAAGAATACCTGATGTAGAAAGAAGCTTAAAATAGTATTTATAGTATGACTCAGAAAAGCATAAATATGAGTGTAGATGTACAGACAGTTTATTCAGCAAGTAAATGAACAAAAATGTTGATGATACTTCATGTCTGTGTGGAGAGCGTAATGTCACCAGAATGTTCTACAGTGAACAGTTATAACCAGCTACTTTAAAATTATATTTACCTTAGAAGTAATTCAGAAGCATTGATTTTTACTATAAGGTGTAAACACATTTATTCTCAGTTGAGAAAGACGTCTCATATTATACTACCATCATTGTAAATAAAATAATATAGGTATTAATGATATTTCAGTGGCTAAACTTCCTAACTCATCATTTTTTTGGAAATGTTTTGGCAGATATTCAGCTCTACAATGTATCATTTATTTGGTACAAAATATTAAAGGTAATATGGAAAAGTACTATTAATTCTTTACAAGAAATACTGAATTTTAATCAGAAATGATTCTAACCTATTATCATACTTACACATTGTTAGTAGATATATCTTTTTTTTACAAATGTGGATCTGTTTATAAATAATTTCAAATTAAAAAGTTCCACAAATGAAAATAGTATAAATAGTTCCAGTGTATACCCTTTATCAGGATTCACATAGTGTTGACTTTTTACAGCTTTTGCTTTGCCATTCTTATTCTCTTACCACCCTGTCTCTCCACACATACTTACACACCCACACACAGTCTTTTTCTGAACCATTTTAAGGTGAATTGCATCTCCTAAGAAATACATGAAGATGGTACGGTTATCACCTTCACAGATTTACATTGGTATAATATTTCTGTTTGAGCTATGGTACATATTCTAGCTTTGTCAGTTGACCTGATACTATGCTTTAATAATATTTTCCCACCTTCAGTACAAGATCCAGTCTAGAGTTAGGTATTACATTTACTTGTCCTTTAGCCTTGTTTAACCTGGAACATTTCCATAACTTATCTAAAACACTGCCATCTTGAAGAATATAATCCTCTCCCACTTTTTGAACTGAATGATACTTATTTGATTTGCCTGATGTTTTTTTTTTGACTGGATTCTGCTAATGCATTCTTGACCACAATACCACAGAGATCATGTTTTGTTCTAACTACATGTATAGCCCATGATGCCCTCTGTTCCCTCATTGGTGATGTTAATTTTGAACATCTTATCAAGGTGTCTTTCATTTCTCCATTATGTAATTACTATTCTTCCCCCCCCTTTCTAATTAGTAAGCTATCTATCTATGTGGAGACCCCTTAAGATCATGCAAATATCTTGCTCCTCATCAAAATTTTGTCAATATTTAGCATCCATTAATGATCCTTGCCTGATCCAGATTTTATCATGATGGTTGCAAAATGATGATGTTCCAGTTCTAGCACTTTGTCCATATTTCTAGTTGGCTCATAGCATTCTACTGTAAGCAAGAGTCCTCCCCTCTTTATCACTTACTCATTCATTGGTACAGACTCATGAATTGCTTTTTCTTTCTCCAGTGGTTTGTAAGTTATTACTGTGCCTAAATGTTTTGGTGCCAAAATTGTTCTAGATTTGACTAGTGGGTGTCCCTTCATGCTGGCTTCCCTGTCCTTGTAACATGTCTCCATCATTTTCTTTTAAATGCTTTCTTACTTTCTGACATAATATGTTTCAGGATCATCTTGTATCTACACATCTATTCTACCCAGTGCTCAGTTAGCCATCTCTCCTAGGAGCCTTGGTTTCCTCTCGTGGGGAATGTTACCAGAACCAAGACCTGTGAAATTGTGTTTATGATTTTCGATTACAGCTACTTTAAAAAAAAAGTAGTCTCTGTGCTTTGATAGTCACCATCAAAAACTGAAAAGACAGCCCAAGAATGGGAGAAGTGTTTGCAAATCATTTTTCTTATAAGGGACTTATATCTAGTATATATGTAGGACTCTTAATAACCGATAAAAAGGCCACCCAATTAAAAAGTGGGCAAAGGATGTAAATAGACATTTCTTCAAGGAAAGTATACAAGTGGCCAGTAAATACAAAAAAGATGCTCAATATCATTAGTTATCAGCAAAATGCAAATCAAACCCACAGTGAGATACCACTTCACACCCACTAGGGTGGCTAGAATCAAGAAATGATGTCATAAGCATTGACAAGTAAGTGGAGAAATACGAACCCACATACACCACTGGTGGGAATGCAAAATAGTGCAGCCACTTTGGTAAACAGTTTGACAGTTCCTCAAACCATTAAACATAGAGTTTCTATGTGACCCAGCAATCCCACTCCTAGGTATATACCTGAGAGAAATGAAAACATACACCTACACAAGAACGTGTACAAGAATGTTTATAGCAGCATTATTATTCATAATAGCCACAAGGTGGAAACAACCCAAATACCCATCAACTGATTAAGTGATTAATGGATCAGAATGTGATATCCATACAATGGAATATTCAGCCATAAAAAGGAATGAAGCAGTGGCACATTTTCCAACAAGAATGAGCCTTGAAAAGATGATGCTAAGTGAAAGAAGCCAGTTACAAAAGACTACATATTATATGAAATTCCAGAATAGGGAAATGTATAGAGACAGACAGTAGATTTATTAGTGGTTGCTTAAGGTTGGAGGGTGAGAGGAATAAGGGAGTGAATGCTAAAGGGTATGGGATTTCCTTTTGAAGTGATTCAAATGTTCTGATACTGACTGTGGTGATGGTTGCACATATCTGTGAATATGCTAAAAAAAAAATTTGATCGTGCACTTTCAAACGGTGGATTGTGTGGTATATGGATTATAGCTCAATAAAGCTATTAAGAAAAACCTTTTAAAAAGTTCCAATTTGAAATAATACAAGTATTATACCCCCCATCTCACCTCTACTTTTTACCAGATGATTCCCTGTTCCATGGGTGAACCAGAACAGCTCTGGGATGAATATAAGTAGGTTTTGCATATATTTAACTGTATTCACCTAAAAGCACCTTAAGAGCAAGTTGTGTTACATAGCCATGATGTTTTAAGGCATGTATTTTTTGACTCATAAAGAGCAAAAGGAATGTTATTTCCAGATATGAAAAGTAAGGTGACACCTTTCTGAATTATTTGTGTTAAAAGACTGGAAGGACTAGAATATGGTTCAGTGAAAAAGATTAATATTTTTCTTTAACTTTAAAAACTTTCATTGTATTCTTGCAGATTCGTGTCTTCAGACCACCCAACTACTCTGGCACCATTGCTTTGGCCTTGTTAGTGTCACTTGTGGGTGGTTTGCTGTATTTAAGAAGGAACAACTTGGAGTTCATCTATAACAAGACTGGTTGGGCCATGGTATCTCTGGTATGTTAACACATTTACCCTATTTCTTTGTGTAATGGTATAAGTTGTATAATATTAACAAAATGAGCCAGATTATTACTGTAATGGAAATCAAGTCTGGATGAGAGGAATTAACTTTTTAGGACTGAAGGTGACATAATTTAAGTTCAGTTAGTCACGACTGTGCTATCTTCCTTCTGCGTTTCACTTTTAAAATGTAATGTCTTTCCCTGTGTACTTGGCATATTGCAAGTGCTAAATGAATGTATGTTGAATACATTTAGAAATATACTAAGAATTAGTAGTTTGGAGACTCTTACAAACTGAAGCAGTTGGAAATGTACTCATTCAGTTGTTTTTATCCAGCAACTCTTTTCTTGTGTCTCTACTATGTTCCTGATGTTTATTAGGTACTGGAGGTATAAAGGTAAGACATAGACCCTACCTGTACGTAATTCATCGTGGGGATACAAGCTAAGCAGAAGACAAATACAGTGTAATGTTACACATGCTGTGATGGAGGTAAGCACAAAATATCATAGGAAGGTCACCTAATCTTGAGTGACGAAGGTCATGACAGGCTTCCTAGAGTGTGTGACATCATTTATGTTTTAGAATGATCACTTTGGTAGCAGTGGGCAATCAATTGAAGGGTATGTCTGGGATCAGGAAACCTGGTTAGGATACTATTAGGAGAATCCAGGTGAACGTGATCCCTGGTTAGGATACTATTAGGAGAATCCAGGTGAACGTGATCCTATTTCAGTTTGTACTAAAAGGATTTTTCTTCCCTTTATGATTGTGCTAAGTTAAAAAAAAAATTAGCTAGGGCTTCCCTGGTGGCGCAGTGGTTGAGAATCTGCCTGCTAATGCAGGGGACACGGGTTCGAGCCCTGGTCTGGGAGGATCCCACATGCCGGGGGGCAACTAGGCCCGTGAGCCACAACTACTGAGCCTGCGCGTCTGGAGCCTGTGCTCCACAACGAGAGAGGCCGCGATAGTGAGAGCCCCGCGCACCGCGATGAAGAGTGGCCCCCGCTCACCGCAACTAGAGAAAGCCCTCGCACAGAAACGAAGACCCAACACAGCAAAAATAAATAAATTAATTAATAAACTCCTACCCCCAACATCTCCTTTAAAAAAAAAAAAAAAAAAATTAGCTAATAAAATGGAAATGTGGACAGTATATAAATAAAATATATTCAGCGATATATCTGATATTTAATAGTTATACTAATTAAAAATATTGGTGTAAAATAATATAAATGGTAGCATAATATCTATATTATACAAACAGACTTAAATTCTTACTAGAAAATGGAGCTTTCCTAATTATAGTGGCTTAATATTTTTCTCTTTGCTTTTTATATTTTAAAGACATATAACTGTTTAAAGCAAAATATAACACTGCATTGATGGATTGGTGGGTTTGTTGTGTGTGCATGACAATAGCATATTAAAGGATAAATTGAGCTATGTTGTTGAAAAGTTCCTATATTTTAGCTGATGTGGTTCAATATCAACTTTAACTTGACTGGGATGAGTTTAAGATACATATTGTAATCCTCAGAGGAACAATTGAAAACATAATACAAAGAGATTAGCTGGAAAGCTAAGATAGTGATTAAAATGGAATACTAAAAATATATAATTAACACAAAGGAGGAATGAAAGGAGGAACAGAGGAGTAAAACACAAGAAACCCAGTACAATTTAAAAAATGATGGACCTAAATACCATCATATCAGTCATATCATATCAATATACTTATGTACTTTAAATATAAACAGATGTAGCACCTCAATCAAAGGACAGATATTGTCAGTTTGGATCAAAATGCAATAGCAGACTATGTGCTGTCACACAGAATATGTAAAGGATTATTGCTACTCAGATATAAGACAGAAATCATGGTTTTAAAAAATGACACTCTGTTTATAGGTAAGATGGCATTATACATATGCCAACCTTTTCTCCTGGTGATATAACTATAAAACCTGGAGAGAATGCAAGGCTCAAGTATTTGATGTTTTTAAAAAGTGTCAGCAGGTAGATCAGGTAAGAACATCAGCTTTCAAAATGACATCTAATTAGAAGATGTTGAGGGTTGATAATTTTTTGTTTACTATTTTGGTTTTTCTTGACTTAAACTCAGTTCAGCTTGAAAGTTGAAAGTGAGCCATGTGGAGCAAAGATATCTAGAAGATATCTGTGGTTCTAGCTCAAGGAGCAGTAAAGGGAATCTGTAAAGTTCATCAACAAAATGAAAAGTTTTTGGTGTCATATTCAAAATATTGCTGTGAAGACTAATGTCAGGGAATTTTTTCCCTATATTTCTTCTAGGAGTTTTACAGTTTCAGGTCTTATATTTAAATCTTGAATCCATTTTGAGTTGATTTTTGTGAGTGGTATAAGATAGGAAGTAGTTATTCACATTATTTTGCATGTGAATATTCACTTTTCCCAGCACTGTTTATTGAGGGGACTGTTCTTTCCCTGATGTATATTCTTTGCTTTCTTGTCAAATATTAATTGATGGCATATGCATTAGTTATTTGTGAGCTCTCAATTCTATTCCATTGGTTTATGTGATTTTTATGGGGGTACCATACTGTTTTGATTACTGTAGCTGTTATATAATTTGATTTCAGGAAATGTGATGCTTCCCACTTTGGTTTTTTTTTTTTTTCCTCAGGATTGCTTTGGCTATCTGGGATCATTTTGTGGTTCCATATGAATTTTTCTATTTCTGTGAAAAATGCCATTGGAATTTTGATAGTGATTGCATTGAATCTATAGATGGCTTTGGGTAGTGTGGACATATTAACAATATTAATTCTTCCAATCTAGGTAGTTGGATATCTATAGTTGGACACAAGATACTTCCCATTTGTTTTCTTTAATTTCTTTCATGAGTGTCATGTACAGATCTTTCACCTCCTTAATAAAATGCTTAGGAATGAATTTAACTGTTTTTGATGCTGTTGTAAATGGGATTTTTTAATTTCTTTTTTGGATAATTTATTATTAGTGTAGAAATGCAACTGAGTTCTGTATGCTGATTTTGTGTTTTGTTTTGTTATTTGGCTGTGTTGGGTCTTCGTTGCTGCGTGTGGGCTTTCTTCGCTAATCCTTGTTGCGGTGCACAGGCTTCTCATTGCAGTGGCTTCTCTTTGTTGTGGAGCACGGGCTCTAGGCGCGTGGGCTTCAGTAGTCGTGGCACACGGGTCCAGCAGTGGCACAGGGGCTTAGTTGCTCCACGGCATGTGGGATCTCCCTGGACCAGGGCTCAAACCTGTGTCCCCTGCATTGGCAGGCAGATTCTTCACCACCAGGGAAGAAGTCCTTGGAAGTCCTTGTATGTTGATTTTGAATCCTGCAACTTTAGTGAAGAAATCAGTGATTAGTTCAAACCCTTTTTTGGTGCAGTCTTTAGGAAGATGATATCATCTGCAAACAGTTTCACTTCTTTTCTGATTTGAATATCTCTTGCCTAATTGCTCTAGATAGTACTTTAGTACTATGTTGAATAAGATTGATGATAGGACACCCTTTCTTGTTCCTGATCTTAGAGGGAAAGCTTCCAGCCTATCACAGTTGAACATGATATTAGTTGGGAGCTTATTGTATCTGGTTTTTATCATGTTGTTGTACATTCTTTCTGTACCCAATTTATTGAGTTTTTATCATGAAAGGATGTGGAATTTTGTCAAATGCTTTTTCTATAGCAACATCAATGATCATGTGATTTTTATTCATTTTGTTAATTGAGATATCTCATTGATTGATTTGCAGATGTTGAATCATCTTTACATCCCAGGGATAAATCCTACTTGTTAATGGTGTGTGATTCTTTTAATGTGCTGTTCAATTTGGTTTACTGTATTTTGTTGAGAATTTTTCATGTATATTCAGCAGGGATATTGATCTGTAGCTTTATCTTTTCATATCGGTGTAATGCTGGCTTCATACAATGAGTTTGGGAGTGTTCCCTCTTTAATTTTTTGGAAGAGTTTGAAAAGGATTGGTATTAATTCTTCTTTAAATATGGGGTAGTATTTTCCAGGGAAACCATCTGTTCTTGGGCTTTTCTTTGTTTGGAGGTCATTAATTACTGATTCAATCTCCTTACTTGTTATAGGTCTGTTCAAATTCTCTGTTTCTTCATGATTCAGTCTTGATAGGTTTGTGTTTCAAGGGTTTATCTGTTTCTTCTAGGTTATCCAATTTGTTGGCATACAGTTGTTCATAGTAGTCTCTTATAATCCTTTGTATTTCTGTAGTATGAGTTTAATGTCTCCTCTTTCATTTTATTCATTTACCTTGTCACTTGCCATCATTTTTTCCTTCACGTCTATTTTGTTTGATGAGTGCATAGCTACTCTATTTTTTCTTTTGGTTTCCACTTGTGTGAAATATCTTTTTCCATCCCTTTTTTTGAAATTATTTGTCTCCTTGAAGCAGAAGTGAAATTCTTGAGGGCAGCATATAGTTATGTCTTCCTTTTTTATCCATTCGTTCACTCTGTGCCTTTTGTTTGGATAAATTAATCCATTTATATTTAAAGAAACTTTTGATAGATAAGGACTTACTAATGTTATCTTATTAACTGTTTTCTCGTACCATATTACAGTTTTAGAGTATTCTGAATTTGACTATATACTTGCCTTTACCAGTGTGTTTAGCATGAAGAATGTTTTTCAGTATTTCTTGTAAGGAAATCGATTGGTGATGGACTTCTTACCTTTTGTTTGTCTGGGAAAGTTTTTATCTATCCTTCACCCCTGAAGGACAACTTTGCCAGGTAAAGTTCTCTTGGTTGGCATTTTTTTTTTTTCTTGTAGCATTTTTAATGCTTCATTCCACTGTCTTCTGGCTTGCAAGGTTTCTGCTGAGAAATACACTGATAGCCTTAAGGGGGTGTATCTCGGAGAAGATGATTTAGGGTTGAAATTTGGTGGTACTATGCTGGGAGAACAGTATTTTGCAAAGTGGAGAAAATAAATTAGGGCAGAATTGTT